GGGTGTGTGTGTGTCTATCTTAAGCATCATAAGGCAGATAAGGTAAATGTAACAAGTGACCTGACATAAATTTACCATAGTGCCAGAGGGTTTTCTTTTTAATGTTGACCCCAATACACTGTGACATAAAACATGCTCATTCAGAGAATGTTGCTGACATTGTGGATTCCCATGTAAGATCATCAGGGAGGTGACAATGTATTGTCATTTATGGATAGAAAGGTTGACACAGCTTCACATATAACATTCTAAGATGCACACAGTACACATGCATCATGACTTGTATTCAAGGAGATGAAATATAGACTGGTACCATACATAGGCATTTATGTGACTGTTCAGTGTAGGATCATAGCTGGTCATCAAAGTGATGACCAAGAATAGTGTTGGAGAATAGACATGAAAGAGAATTCATGGAAACTGTGTAGCATCATGTGTGGTAATCAAGGACAGGGGCATACAACATTATAGCACCATCTGTAGTTAACAAGCAGCTTCATACATGAAAATCAGGCCAATGGTACAAAATCAGAATGAGGACTTGGAGTTTCAAAAACATACATGATCATCATATGATGAGGACATAATATGGTATTGTATTTGTCCGTGAACAAGGTAATGGAAGCATACTGTAGGACATGCTTCTCATAGGGATTTGACAGATACAGTAGAACTGTGGTGATATATTGTTTACAATCTAGTAAGCTTGCCTGGAGATCAGAATGCAAAAATAGACACAGCCATAAAGGCCAGGAAGTGGTGGCACACACCTTTAATCCCAGGACTCAGGAAACAGAGGCAGATGGATCTCTTCGAGTTCAAGGCCACTCAGGGCTACATGAGAGTCTAAAAGAGAAACAGAGCTCATGCCTTTAATCCCAGCACTAGAGAGGTATATAAGATAGAAGTAGGATCTCAGAGCTGGCATTCAGTCTTGGGCATTCAGTCTCCAGGAACATTGAGGATTTGTGCAGACAGGATCACCCTTTTAGTCTGAGGTAGTAGTAAGAGCTAGTGGCTGGCTGCTTTGCTTCCCTGGTTTTCAGGTTGAATCCCAATATTTGTCTCTCAGTTTTTATTATTCATGTTATGGTGGACCAGTACATTATTTATAGAATTGACATAGTTTATTATGGTAGCATCAATAGTGGTCAAGTTGATAGTCCCAAAAGAATGGAACATTGTACACAATCACTGAAGAGTTGACTGTGAACATGGCACCATACATACAAAAGACATAAAGATCCAGAGAGACATGCGTGGCTCTATCAAGGAGATAACACAGACAATTAAAAACATCACCTGTGATTATTAAGAATGCAACATGGACCCAGGACTTATGACACACTCAGCAATATCCACTATTCAGAGACTGAGGCAAAAGGATCACAAATTCAGGTCACCCTGTGCTACAGAGTAAATTCAAGTCCAATATGGATAACTTAGTGAAGAGATCCTACCTCAAAATAAAACTTAGGGTATATAACTCAGTAGAAAGCGTTGCTGAGCTCACACTAAACTGTAGATTCAATCCCCCAATAACATATACACAAAAAGAATGAGATGGGAACACACTGTGGCGACACACATGTCATCATGGAGATAAGGCACAGATTTCCACGATAGCAGGTACTTGTGGAGATGAAGCATGGTATAGAGTCAGGCACCACTTCCAAGGAAAACCTAAGTTCCTCCATAACTTAAATGTATGAACATATGACTTACCATCAGCAGAAGCTGTTGCAATAAGTTTCCCTGTGTAATCAAAGCAGCTGTCTAGTATTTCATCATCATGGCCTGTTAAGGTTGCTACACATTTCCCACTTGTAGCATCCCATAACTGAAATAGAGAGAGAGAAACCATCAACTAAGCAACGAAATTCCTCCGCAAAGTGGGAAGATGGCCAGTGATCTCATGATAGGAGTGTGTCTTGCTAAATAATGGTGATCAAAGGATACACATCATTTCATTCTCTCTGATCAGTTAATTCCACTTGGATTTATAACCAAAGTCAACCATTTGATCACAGGAAAATCAAGGCAAAGACACTTAGAATTTTCTGCAACATTAAGGAAAGAAAGAAAATCTGAGAGGTATGCTACAGGGATTGGTATGAAGGGATATTTTCTTCGACAAAAACTTCAGATGACTAGGGGTTTGATCCCAAACTATTATGACAAGAAATGAAAAGTACATCCATAGTGAGATTTGAATGCCATTTGTATAAATATAAGTGACAAGTGATTATAGCCTCTCAGTAATTTTTTTGAAGAGAAGAGACTCAATGGCAGGAGGAAACTTATTTGAGGCCCCATGAGGGCCATGCCAATAGGAGCATACTAAATAAACAGCAGGACATTGGATAAAATTATTGTGGCTTTTCAAACAAGACCTTTCTTGTCTTTGAAACAAACAGAATTATTTTATAATTTCATAGTTCCTTCAAGCTTAGAAAACTGGAGAGTTGAAATGGAAATTAGCAATTATCATTTATAAATCAATGTTTAATTGCATTCCCTCTTTGATCTGTTAGTGTTATGATGAACACCTGATACAGTATAAAGGAAAGAGACATAGTACAAAGACAGTCCGACTCTGAGCTCACCATGCAGGTCTTGTCCATGGAGCCTGTTAATATTAGAGAACAATCCCAATTGAACAAGGCGCTGCTGATCTCAGCACAGTGGCCAATTAAAGTGTGCACCTTCCTACAAGACAGAAATAGGCACAGCTGGTGAGAGACATCCTGATTTCATTTCTGGTTTTGCGACAAACCACCCTGAAGGAAGTGGTATAAGGGAGTAAGAGATTATTCAGCCCATCATTTCAGGGAAGCCAAGGCAGGGCTCAGACAGCTGGTCACTTCTCAGAGGGAAGCAAGAACACCCCACTCCCCATGCTGTCTGCTTGGTTCTGCTTCTGCGCAGCTGGCTTTCTTCACTCGTAACAGCTCAGGGCCCAGTCCAGGAAATGGCACTGCCCACACCCAGGATGGATCCTTCTAACTCAATTAACCATCAACACAGTCTCCCACAGACATGCCCATAGGTCATCCTTGGCAAAAGGATTCCTCACTTGGAGCCTCTCTTCCCAGGTGACACTAGGCCCATGGTTCTCAACCTCTTGGATGTGATCCCTCTGGCAAACCGCTGTCTCTACAGATATTTACATTCTTTTTTTATATCAGTAGCAAAATTATAGTATGAAGTAGAGATTAAAAATAATTTTATGGGGGTCACTACAACATGAGGAATTTGACTAATGGATCACAGCATTAGGAAGGTTGAGAAGCACTGTTCTGGGTTGTGTCAGGGTAACAATAAAAACACAGTTGTTTTACTCCAGCATGTGCACACACGGTCAAGCCCATACATGTGAACTAAATTTTATTATTCATAAAATTACACTCATATACATATGATGAAATGAAAATAGTTGTGCTGTTACTCAAAAAGAGCACACTAATTTCAGTAGAAATATACATGTTTTAAGTAATCAAAGATAATATGACTGAGGCTGGAGAGATGACTCAACAGTTAAGAGCACTCACTGTACCCAAGAGATCCATTCTCAGTTCCCAGCACCCATGTGGCAACACATGACCACCTACAACTAGTTCCCTGGGATCCAATGTCCTCTTCCAGCCTCCCTGGTCACCAGGCAAGCACATGATACACATACACACATGAATACAAAAACACTCATATACATAATAAAAATAAATCTTTGTTTAAAAAGGTAATATGACAGTGTCTGACTTATTCCAGTCTCAGACAATTTCTGATTTGATCAGTAACATTGTATCATATGTCCATATATCACAGTGCACTATATAAATGCATACAATTCTTTCATTTTAGTATAACTTTGAAAAAAGTATTTAAGGAGATGGACATGTTACTGCCCTATTTTCATCATTTAATAGTTTATACATGGATTGAATTATCACACTGTAACATAAATATGTACAGTTTAAAATAAAATTGAACACTAGAACTTTATGTAAGGTAGCATTTCAAAAAGGAATGGGTATTCACAAAGGTAGTCTAAAACTCTAGAATGGTCTTAAAATCAATGAGTGCCACTAGGAAAGGAGCTCAGATGGCAAAATGATTGCTTTCATTGCATGAAGAACACTCTGGGTTTAATCCCCAGTATTACATCAAGTGTGGTGGCACATGACTATAATACCAGCATTCAGAAGATGGAGGCATGGAGGTCAGAAGTTCAAGGTCATCCACAGCTACAGAAAGAGCTCGAGGCCAGCCTGAGCTACATGGGACTCTGACTCAAAAATAATTAATTAGCTAGCAAATTCATGAATGAACAGAAACACATTAGTGGGTCCCACAGACTCATGGGTGTTCAGGAGCACTGCATCCAGGGCTTGCAAGGCCCTTCCCTCACTCACAGTCTTGGATAACAGCACTAGTAATGATTCCTTCTATCCAAATTTGTAGTCTAAGAGTGGAGTTTTTCCAACACAAATATGCAAAATTAACTAACTTCTTGACAAGTAAGACCAACAACCATTAGAAAGGAAACTGAAGTTCCTGGGCTCAATTAAGTTTGGGAATTAACTCTGAGTTTTAATTCATGATATTCGGGCTTACCATAAGAAGATGTCATTGAAACTTGATTATATAGTACATGGGACTAATAACAGCTATACAACCAAGCTCTTCATAACATTCTCCTTTCATGTTGCTGTTTGGTATTCTTGCCTAGAATTATAGGAACTCTCTTATTTTGTGGGTCCAAAATAACACTGAAGAATAAACCTGGGGACTGGAGAGGTGACTCATGGTTAAGAGCCCTTGCTGCTCTTACAGAGGACCCAGGTTTAGCACCTAGCACCTACATTGTAGCTTTCAATCATGAAAGTGCCAGACACCTATGTGTTGCTCATACATATATGCATGCAAACTACTAAAACACATTTTTAAATCAACTATGAGTCATATTCCTGAAGAATTTAAATCATAAACAACTTAGGCAAGGATAAGCTTAATATATAACACAGATCTTCTTAACTACTGACACAGATCAAAAATATCTAGAAAATTACCTTCCAGTACTAGCATCCCATACTACAACTGTGTGGTCAAAGGATCCTGTGATGATTCTGTCTCCTGAGGTGTCAAATGACAAGGAAATGATTTCTGCCAAATGACCCTGGAAAAAGAACAGACACAGTCATACACACATGTAGATGAGAAAGAACATTGATAAGAATATATGTAGATAAGAGTATGTTATCATCCAAAAGATGGTAGAGAAGAGATAGGTGCAGGGGGACACAGGAAATCATGCTGGGCTGGGCTGGGCTGGGGTAGGAAGGGCTGTACATACACAGCTTTCTCTGCAAGGTGACAAGGAAGTTGAGAGAACAGAATTTGGTGATATGCACAGTAATCAGCAAAGCTCATTGCCTTGCACACTTCAAGCAGGTTCATTGCAGAATAGTGACAGTGTTGTAGGGCAGACTGTACTATTTAAAAAATAAAAGTATATGTTTGGAGAACCTAGAAGGGGTCTTCCCCATTGTCCTGGGAAGACTAGAAGAACTGTCTTCAGGTAGTCATGATAATAAGCACTTGATAAGCAAAGTCCTTCTGTGTATATGTCTCTCTTATTGATTAGTGAATAAAACACTGTTGGCCAACAGGGAGGCAAGATACGTGGAACTAGGAGAGAAGGAGGATTCTGGGAAATGTAGTAGAGAGTGGAGTCGCCATGTGATCCCATGAAGAGAAGATGCATGCCACTGGCATCCTCAATAAATCTTTATAAAATATATAGATTAATGATTATGGCTGATACTTAAGACAGAGCTAGCAAGTAAGAAATCCTAGTCATTGGCCAGCAACATTGTAACTAATATAAGATTCTGTGTGTTATTTGGGGGCCCTAACATGGATAGAGAAAATGTGGTACATTTACACAATGGAGTACTACTCAGCAGAAAAAAACAATGGCATCTTGAAATTCACAGGCGAATGAATGGAACTAGAAGAAACCATTCTGAGAGAGGTAACCCAATCACAAAAAGACAAACATGGTATGTACTCACTCATATGTGGATTTTAGACATAGAGTAAAGGATTACCATCCTACAATCCACACTGCTAGAGAAGCTAATAAACAAGGAGGACCCTAAGAGAAACATATATGGTTCCCTGGAGAAGGGGAAAGGGTCAAGACCCTGAGCAAATTTGGAGCATGGGAAGAGGGGTGGGGGAGAGAGCTAGGAGAATGATAAGGGGGAAAGAAGAGGGATGTAGAGGACATGAGGGAGCAGAAAGGTTAAGTCAGGGGAAGACTAGAAGATAACAAGAATGGAGACATCATAATAGAGGGAGACATTTTAGGTCAGAGGACATGAGGGAGCAGAAAGGTTAAGTCAGGTGAAGACTAGAAGATAACAAGAATGGAGACACCATAATAGAGGGAGACATTTTAGGTTTACAGAGAAATCAGGCACTAGGGAAATGTCTGGAGATCTACAAAGATGACACCAACTAACAATCTAAGCAACAGAGGAGAGGCTACCTTAAATGCCCTCCCCTGATAATGAGATTGATGACTGACTTATATGCCATCCTATAGCCCTCATCCAGCAGCTGGTGGAAGTAGAAGCAGACACCCACAACTAATCACCAAACTGAACTGGAACCCAGATGCAGAGAAGGACGAGTGAAGAGCAAAGGGGTCTAGACCAGGTTGGTGAAACCCATAGAAACAGCTGACATGAGCATCTTCCAAAGTTTAAATGCCAGTAGCTCAAAGACTTCTAACATAGCCTTCACTTCATAACAAATACAACTAATAATTAATACAGATGGTTAATGATATGGCTTATTAACAATACGGACATACTGTTAGAGTGACCACTTCCTCTCCATTCTGAATGTCCCATAGTTTGGCTGTTGTATCCATACTTCCAGTAGCAACCACTGTACTTTGTGGGTTGAATGATAAGCACACCTACAACACATGAAATGGGGGAGGGTGAGACTTTAGGAGCATGGTGCTTCCAACTCTTAATTATGCACTGAAACTCTTTCAAATGGCTTAGAAAATTTAGATTTAATTAATGGTTTGTATAAGAACACACCAAGCCATCAGAGTGAGAAACCTGCCATCTCCAGGTAGAATCCTGAGCAATCTCCTCCTAAAGAGAGGCCTTGTCCTTGTCTTGTCACCTGCTCTGCCACAGATTCTCTTTACAGCTTCCAGAACAGATTTGTGAGAGCCAAAGCACAGCTCATCTCCTGTGAGTTTCATGCTAGGGGCTCTCGGAGTCCTTGTAGCTATGATGACAGTATTACAGCTTCCAGAACACCAAACAGTGAGAGCCAAAGCACAGCTCATCTCCCGTGAGTTTCATGCTAGGGGCTCTCGGAGTCCTTGTAGCTATGATGACAGTCTGAGCGTACTCTTTAGTGAGGAACTGTGACTTCTAGCTCAACGAGTCAATTCCATGTCCTGGACGGCCTTCCTGCAAGCAGTCTTTCTAGTAGCCTCAGACCTATACCTTTGGTCTTCCCATTTGCAACTGTGCCTATATCTTCATCACCAGCTAGTCCTTCTCTGGTAAAAAATTTCCAAATACTTCCAGCTTTCTTTCTCACTTGCCATCCCTTCCTTGTGCCAGGATACCTTCCATTTCTTCGAGACCTCCACCTTGTGTCCTGGTCTATCATTAACATTCAACTTATGACACTGAGACATCACTACCTCTGGCACACACAACACCGTTAACTTCCACCTCTCAAGTGCACTCTGCATGCAAACTCCTAACATTAACTTTATCCAGCAAGGACTTAGAATCATAAACACTCCCTGACTCATCACCTGACCATGGAGGCTAAGAACAGTATATTAATTAGTTCCTGGTGAAATTATTCTAAGAGCTTTTCTTCCTCAAACCTGGGGATCGACCTTATTAATGAATCATCTTCCTATTCTCAGGTCTGATGTTGTGGAATATAGTGAGCTAATGACAAAGGTTGCTTGGTAGATGGCATAGGCATTTTTCCTCAGTCTGTCTGAGGTTCAAAAATCATGTGGCCTCCTCTTATACGCAGAATTAGGGAAAGGCACTGCCAATAACATAAACTCCCAAACAAGGAATCATCCTAGATTGCCCCATCCCTCATTCCTCAGATATGTGGTACCAAGCACCTCTGTCTCCACTCCATTAACACTTCTCGCCTTCTCGCCTACTTTAGGGCAGCCTTCACCATGGATCACTTGGGTAGCAGTAGATCCCTAACTAGCAGTGATCTCTTGTCTCAAACGCCGCCAATTTTTCCTTCATAATGCTAAAACAAACAATCTCAGAGAAGCAAGTCAGGCACACCCTTCCAGACAGGAAGCCTCAGTGACTCACAAGATAAAGCCCAGGTTTCTTAGTATGTCATAAGATAAGTCCCCTGCCACATGACATTTCCATGCCTCTTCCATGCATTCACTTCCACTTAATATTCTGGCTTTGGTTGAATGTAGATGTACAAAGACATGGACGTCAGTAACCCTGGAAGCTGGGCATCACAAGCGCCCCATGCCCATCACCCTGGATCAGGTATAGCAGGCAACTCAGCCAGTGTGTGTGTGTGTGTGTGTGTGTGCGCGTGTGTGTGTGTGTGTGTGTTTGTCTGTGTTGCATATTTTATGAAAATCATCTCAGGAGAAGGTTGAGTTCCCTGATAACAAAGCGATATTTGAATTCTCAAAAACACCCCCTGGGTGCAGAGCTCTGGACACACAGAAGTGCTGACCCCTGTGTCGGGAAAACACGTGCCTCTTTTCTATCATTCTTTTTGAACATCTTTCCTGGTCAAAGGACACTTGACTTCACTCCTCTCCTATAGCCTCACTGAGGTCAACACACACTTCTAGTACTTAAATAACCACACCTCTTTATACCTATCCGGTGATGGATCTACTCCTTCTGCTGAACTGAAAGTCCCCAAGAGACTAAAACCCTGCATCCAGTTCCATCAGGCATCCCACAATTACTGTCCAGATTATGTGTACAGATAGCTTTGGGGTTTTATTTTGTTTCTTTTGAGCCAAGTTGGCCTAGAACTCCCTATGTAGCCAAGAACAACTTGGATATAATTCTCCTGCCTCCATCTCCAGGGCTGGGATTGTAGGGATGCCTGGCTTCCTCTAGCTTATGCAATGCTCAGAATCAAACCCAGGGCCTTGTGATACAGTTAAGCAAGCACTTTACCAACTAAGCTACTTCAATGACTCTTCACACATGGTTAACATTTAGTGTTTACTTGATAGATGTTCTTGACCATGAAATTGTATGACTGTCTCACTAGGAACTCTGTGCAAAAGAAAAGCATGTCAATATGACAGACTTTGAAGGTCCCCCATGGAGGGCCTCACTATCCCTGGGAAGGATTTGGGGGGTTTGGGGAGTTGGGGGGGAACGTGGGAGGATGGGAGGGCAAGGGAATGGGGGGTGAATATGTAAATATGAGTAGTAATTAAAGAATAAAAAAGAAAAAAAAGAAAAGCATTTCAAACTTTTAGGGAGTATGGGGACACAGCTGGTTTCTGAAGACAGGGGTTTTGTCTTTCTTCACCTTTGGCCAATTACTGTCAGTGCCTCAGTCTCCTTAACTATGCCTCAAAATGGGATCTTCTAAGGAGCAAAGTAAGCTATTACACATCAATGTCTTGAGAATAGCGAGTGCCACATAAGAATAGCTGTCTCATCCCCCATCTGCACAGTACCTTAAGCCCACCATGGGCTCTTTTCAATGAATAGGCCATGAATCTGAAAGTGGATGAGAACCAAGGTTGCTCCTAATCCTAGCATCCTGTTTGTTCTCAAGAGTCATCATGTGCTCCACAGGGTGACATAAGAAGGATATAGATGACAGGGGACAAGGGCCTCCCCGAAGTGGAAGCTATATTTAGAGTCTCAGATGACTTATCTAAGTCTGAATCCTACTGAAATGCATGAAATAATCATCCTGCGCACTCAACAAGGTTCACAGAAGTTATTTTTACAGAGACTGTGATAACCTCATTAACCTGCATGAAGTCAATAAGCAAATGTAAACCACGGAGGAGTCCTGCCCATCACACACAGATGCCAAACACATGGCTACTCATCATCATTGCAGGCTACCCTCACCAAATCTGTGAGTGGTTAACTCTTAGGTGGTGAGAATCTCATAGACAAACCCTGAAGACTAAAAATACTGGGTCAGAAGTGGAACACACAATATGAAAGCAACCCCCACGCTTACTACTGTGTCCTCAAAGGAAGAGCAACATGAAGGAGCCCTCAGAGTGTTGTCAGCTGTACTCACAATCTCGGCTGTGTGACCCCTGAAGGTGTGGTAACACTTTCCCGACTCGGCACTCCAGAGTTTACAGGTCTTGTCAAAGGACCCAGTGGCAATTTTGTCACTGCAAATTTCAAAAGTCTGGATTTTAGAAACAAACTCAGCCACATTGCATAATACACTGAACTAAGACTAGATGTGCTGACGCATGGCTTATTTCCCTACTTAGGCATACACTGCACCGTTAAACAATTTCATATTTGCTCCAATGAGTAATAAAACCAATCTGATTTTTTAGTGGTATTAATTCATGCATACGGATGATATAGATATTGCATTAAAGGTATGTTTTTGTAATTATAACAACTTTTGAATTAACCCAAGAATGTAACTTCAGAAAAGAGTGAGAGAACTAGCCCCTGCCCCACACCAGCTGCAGCACACAGGAACTGACCCTGTTGTGGGCACACAGGTGAGCCAGCCCAGAGAGCAGGAGAGCAGGAGAGCTGGCCCCTTTCCCCCTCGCATGCTCCCTACAACAATCAGGAGAGAGGGCCCTGTACCTTGCCTGGGCAAAACACTAGAGCTGACCCTGGTGATATGAACGAGGGGCCCTTGGATCTGAGGGCTCTAGAGAGGGAGAACTGACCCCACTCCTTGCTGTAGACTGCATTGGGTGAGCAAGCCTGGGCAGTGCTGGAGAGCTCATCCAGGTAGTGACATTGAGGGAAAGCTAGTGAGTTGACCAACCCACCTAACACCCAAGCTCAGAACCAGAGCTATGAGTTGGCCCACCCGAAACATCCACAAAATTTAAAAACAATTGGAGCATGTGAAGGGACAAACCTACAGATCCAAAGGAAAAAAAAGAAAAGCATTTCAAACTTTTAGGGAGTATGGAGACACAGCTGGTTTCTGAAGACAGGGGTTTTGTCTTTCTTCACCTTTGGCCAATTACTGTCAGTGCCTCAGTCTCCTTAACTATGCCTCAAAATGGGATCTTCTAAGGAGCAAAGTAAGCTATTACACATCAATGTCTTGAGAATAGCGAGTGCCACATAAGAATAGCTGTCTCATCCCCCATCTGCACAGTACCTTAAGCCCACCATGGGCTCTTTTCAATGAATAGGCCATGAATCTGAAGGTGGATGAGAACCAAGATTGCTCCTAATCCTAGCATCCTGTTTGTTCTCAAGAGTCATCACGTGCTCCACAGGGTGATATAAGAAGGATATAGATGACAGGGGACAAGGGCCTCCCTGAAGTGGAAGCTATTTATTTAGAGTCTCGGATGACTTATCTAAGTCTGAATCCTACTGAAATGCATGAAATAATCATCCTGCGCACTCAACAAGGTTCACAGAAGTTATTTTACAGAGACTGTGATAACCTCATTAACCTACATGAAGTCAATAAGCAAATGTAAACCACGGAGGAGTCCTGCCCATCACACACAGATGCCAAACACATGGCTATTCATCATCATTGCAGGCTACCCTCACCAAATCTGTGAGTGGTTAACTCTTAGGTGGTGAGAATCTCATAGACAAACCCCGAAGACTAAAAATACTGGGTCAGAGGTGGAACACACAATATGAAAGCAACCCCCACGCTTACTACTGTGTCCTCAAAGGAAGAGCAACATGAAGGAGCCCTCAGAGTGTTGTCAGCTGTACTCACAATCTCGGCTGTGTGACCCCTGAAGGTGTGGTAACACTTTCCCGACTCGGCACTCCAGAGTTTACAGGTCTTGTCAAAGGACCCAGTGGCAATTTTGTCACTGCAAATTTCAAAAGTCTGAATTTTAGAAACAAACTCAGCCACATTGCATAATACACTGAACTAAGACTAGATGTGCTGACACATGGCTTATTTCCCTACTTAGGCATACACTGCACCGTTAAACAATTTCATATTTGCTCCAATGAGTAATAAAACCAATCTGATTTTTTAGTGGTATTAATTCATGCATACGGATGATATAGATATTGCATTAAAGGTATGTTTTTGTAATTATAACAACTTTTGAATTAACCCAAGAATGTTTTTAGCTGTGTGGATATACAAAAACTCTATTACAGGTATACAAAAGGGAAACACTAAATTGAAAAGGGGGAAGTC